GTGGGTGGTTGCCGGAGGGCATGTGTGTGTAGCTGCTGAATGGGCATGTGCGCATAATGGACGGTGGTGTGTGTGGTTGCTGGAGCGTGGCGGTGGTTGCCAACGCGTGTATTGCTGACGTATGGTCTATTGCTGGAGGTGTGTGTGTGGTTGCTGGAGGGCAGTGTGTGTGGTTGTTGGAGGGTGTGCGTGGTTGTCGAACGTGTGTGGTTGCTGGAGGGTGGTGGCGAAAGTGCGTGGTTGTTGGAGAGCGTGGGGTGGCTGTGCCGGATTTGGAGTGTGGTGTGGTTGCTGGGTGGTGTGTGTGCGTGGTTGCTGGAGGGCGTGCGTGTGCTGCCGGAGGGAGTGGGTGGTTGCTGGAGGGAGTGTGGGGTGGTTGCTGGAGGACGTGTGTGTGGTTGCTGAGGAGTGTGCATGGTTGCTGAGGAGTGAGTGCATGGTTGCTGGAGGACGTGTGTGGTTGCTGGAGGGGTGAGTGTGTATGGTTGTTGGAAGGGAGTGTGGTGGTTGCTGGAGGAGTGTGTATGGTTAAGTGAGAGTGTAAGCTTGCTGGAGGAGAGTGTATGGTTAAGCAGGAGGAGGCATGGTTGCTGGAGGAGGCATGGTTGTTAGAGGGGAGAGTGCATGGTTGACCGAGGAGTGTGTATGGTTGCTGGAGGGAGTGTGTATGGCTGTTGAGTGGAGTGTGCATGGTTGCTGGAGTGTATGATGAAGGTACCCGTGCGTAACGTGCTTATGCTTGTTGAGAGAGTGTGCATGACGACGCTGGAGGAGCGTGCATGGTTGCTGGAGGAGTGTGATGGTTGACAGATGTGCGCGGATGTTGAGGGGTGAGTGAATGGTTGTTGGAGGAGTGCGCATGGTTGCTGAGAGTGCGTATGGTTGCCGATGGGGGAGGCATGGCTGCTGGAGGAGTGCATGGTTGCTGGAGGAGTGTGTATGGTTGCTGGAGGGTGAGCGTGTGTGTGGTTGCTGGAGGGGCGTGTGCGTGCGTGGTTGCTGATGGGCGAGTGCATGGTTGTGGTAGGCGAGTGCATGTGCTGATGCGATCGCCGAGGCGTGTGTTGCTGTCGATGTGTGTGTGTGGTTGCTGGAGGTGCGTGCGTGGTCGTTGAGGGCGTGAGTGGCTGTTGAGGAGTGTGTGCGTGGTTGCTGGATGCGTGTGTGTGGATGATGGAGTGATGTGTGTGTGGCTGATGGACGACGTGCTGTGTAGTTGCTGAAGACGTGTGTGTGTGGTGACGGAGGACGGTGTGTGTGGTTGCTGACATTGTGCGTGGTTGCTAGAGAGTGCGTGCGTGGTTGCTGGTGATGCGTGTGTGTGTGCTGGAGGGCGGCTGTGTGGATGCTGGAGTGCGTGCAGTGCAGTGCGTGTCGTGCGCGCTGGAGGTTGGCGTGTGTGGTTGATGTGACGCCGTGGTGGTATGGAGGACGCGTGTGTGGGGTTGGCGACGATGGTGTTGAGTGGACGTGTGTGGGCATTGTTGATGCGTGTGGGTGGTTGAGGATGACGTGGGTGGTTGCTGGAGGTGGGTGGTTGTCGAGGGACGTGCGCGGTGGTCGTTGAGGGTGTGTGTGGGGTGGTTGTTGAGGCGTGTGGGTGGTTGCTGGAGGTGGCGTGTGGGAGGTTGTTGAGGGTGTGGTGGGCGGTTGCTGCTGGAGGGCGTGTGTGGGGTGGTTGCTGGAGTGCGTGTGGGGTGGTTGCTGGAGGGCGTGTGTGTGGGTGGTTGCTGCTGGAGGGCGTGTGGGTGTGCTGATGGGTGTGTGGGTGGTTGCTGGAGGGGCGTGTGTGGGTGGTTGCTGATGGGTGTGTGTGGGTGGTTGCTGGAGGGTGTGGGGTGGTTGCTGGAGGGGTGTGTGGGTGGTTGTTGAGGGTGTGTGTGGGTGGTTGTGGAGGTGTGTGGTGATTGCCGGAGGGTGTGTGTGGGTGGCTGGTTGGAGGCGTGTGCGGGTGGTTGCTGGAGGGTGTGGGTGGTTGCTGGGTGTGCGTGGGGTGGTTGCTGGAGTGCGTGTGGGGTGGTTGGCTGATGGGCGTGTGGGGTGGTTGTTGAGGGCGTGTGGGGTGGTTGCTGGAGGTGTGTGTGGGTGGTTGTTGAGGCGTGTGTGGGTGAGGCTGAGGTGTATTGCTGGAGGGGTGTGGGTGGGGTGGGTGTGGTGGGTGGGGGGGTGGTTGTTGGAGGGGTGTGGGGGGTGGCGGCAGGTGTGGTTGTTGAGGGTGTGTGGGTGGTTGTTGAGGTGTAAGTGTTTAGCTGGGCGTGTGTGGGTGGTTGCTGGAGGTGAGGGTGGTTGCTGGCGTGGGTAGATGGGTGTGGGTGGCTGCTGGAGGCGTGTGGGCTTGCTGCTGATGCGCATGTGCGGAGGGTGTGTGGGGTGGTTGCTGGGTGGGATGTTGGGGCGTGTGTGGGTGGTTGCTGGAAGTGCGTGTGGGTGGTTGCTGGAGTGGCGTGTGGGTGATTGTTGATGACGTGTGTGGTTGCTGGAGGGTGTGTGTGCGGTTGTTGTGGTGCGTGTGTGTGGTTGCTGGAGGGTGTGTGTGGTTGCTGGTGGGTGTGTGTGGGTTGTTGGAGGGTGTGTGTGTGGGGCGTGTGGTGGTTGCTGGAGGGCGTGTGTGTGGCTGTGTGCGTGTGTGTGGGTTGCTGATGGGCGTGTGTGTGGTTGCTGGAGGCGTGTGTGTGTGGTTGTTGAGGCGTGTGGTGGGAGCGGGTGTGGTGTCTGCGTGGTGTGTGCTGGATGGCGGTGTGTGGCGTGTGAGGACGCGTGGTGTGGTGTGTGGCGCGTGTGGCTGTTGATGACGTGGTGTGGTCGGCGATGGTGCGTGGGTGGTTGCTGGAGTGGGTGTGTGGGCGGTTGTTGGAGGCGTGTGGGGTGGTTGCTGAGCGTGTGGTGGTTATCGGATGCGTGCGTGGGTTGCTGGAGGCGTGCGTGCGGGGTGGCTGTTGAGTGTGTGGGTGGTTGCCGATGGGTGTGTGTGGTGGTTGCTGGAGCGGGTGTGTGCGGGTGGTTGCTGATGCGTGGGTGGTTGCTGGAGGCGTGCGGGTGGTTGCTGGAGGGTGCGTGTGTGGGTGGTTGCCGGAGGCGTGTGCGTGGCGGGTGTGGTGGTTGTTGAGGGTGTGTGGTGGTTGCTGGAGGGCGTGTGTGGGTGGTTGCTGGAGGCGTGTGGGTATTGCTGGAGGCGTGAGTATTGCTGGATGTGCGTGTGGGCGGTTGCTGGAGGGTGTGGCATTGGTTGATATGCGTGGCGGTTGTTGGAGGCGTGTGCGGGTGGTTGTTGAGGTGTGTGCGGGGTGGGTGTTGATGGGCGTGTGGGTGTTGCTGGAGTGTGGTGTGTGTGGTTGTTGAGGTGTGTGTGGTTGTTGGAGGGGTGCGTGGGCGGTTGCTGGAGGCGTGTGTGGGTGGTTGTTGGAGGGTGTGGGTGGTTGCTGATGGGTGTGTGTGGGTGGTTGTTGGAGGCGTGTGTGCGGCGGTTGCTGAGGCGTGTGGGTGATTGCTGGAGGTGCGGGTGGTTGTTGAGGCGGTGGGTGGTTGCTGGAGTGGTGCGTGTGGATTGCTGAGGGCGTGCGTGGGCGGGTTGCTGGAGGGTGCGTGTGGGTGGTTGCTGGAGGGTGTGGCGTGGTTGCTGATGTGTGTTTTGGAGGGCGTGTGGGTGGTTGCTGGATGGGCGTGTGTGGGTGGTTGGATGGAGCTGCGTGGGTGGTTGCTGGATGGTGTGTGGGTGCATTGCTGGAGTGTGTGTGGGGCGGTTGCTGAGGGTGTGTGGCGGTTGCTGGAGGCGTGTGGGTGGTTGTGCTGAGGGTGTGTGTGGGTGGTTGCTGGAGGGCGTGTGGGTGGTTGCTGGAAGGCGTGTGCGGGCGGTTGCTGGAGTGCGGTGGCGGTGCTGGAGGGTGTGTGTGGTTGTTGGAGGGTGTGTGTGTGGTGGTTGTTGAGGGCGGTGCTGGGTGGTTGCTGGAGGGCGTGTGCTGGGTGGTTGCTGGACGGTGGGTATTGCTGGGGTGTGTGTGGGGTTGTTGCTGAGTGGTGTGTGGGTGGGTTGATGTGTGTGGGGCGGTTGCTGGAGGTGTGTGTGTGTGGTTGTTGATGGGTGTGTGTGGTTGCTGGAGGGGTGTGTGTGGTTGTTGAGTGTGTGTGGGTGGTTGTTGAGGGTGGGTGGTTGCTGGGGGTGTGTGGGTGGTTGCTGGAGGGGTGTGTGTGGGTGGTTGTTGGAGGTGTGTGGGTGTGGTTGTTGGAGGGTGCGTGTGGGTGGTTGCTGGAGTGTGTGTGGGTGGGTTGTTGGAGGTGTGTGTGGGGTGGTTGCTGGAGGCGTGTGGGGTGTTGCTGGAGCGGTGTGTGTGGGTGGTTGTTGGCGGTGTGTGGGTGGTTGCTGGAGTGTGCGCGTGTGGTTGCTGGATATGTGGGCGTGTGCGGGTGGCTGCTGGAGTGCGTGTGTGGGTATTGCTGGACGGTGTGGGTGGTTTTTCGTTGATGGGTGGTTGCTGATGGTGTGTGCGGTTGTTGAGTGTGTGTGGGGCGGTTGTTGAGCGGGTGTGGTTGCTGGAGGGTGTGTGGGTGGTTGTTGGAGGGTGTGTGTGGGTGTATTGTTGAGGTGTGTGGGTGGTTGCTGATGCGTGTGTGGTTGCTGGAGTGGGTGCGTGTGGTTGCTGGAGGGTGTGGTGCGGGTGTTGCTGGATGGCGTGTGCGGGGTGGTTGCTGGAGGGCGTGTGTGTGGGTGTTGCCGGATGGTGTGTGTGGCGGTTGTTGAGTGCGGTGTGTGGGTGGTTGCTGGATGGTGGGGTGGTTGCGCCGATGGCGGTGTGGTGGTTGTCGAGGGTGTGGGTGGTTGCTGGAGGCGTGGGTGGTTGCTGGAGGCGGCGGGAAGTATTGCTGGAGGGTGTGTGGGTATTGCTGGAGGTGGTTTGCTGAGGGGCGTGGTGGGCGAGCAGGTTGGAGGGGTGTGTGTGGGTGGTTGTTGGAGGGTGTGTGGGTGGTTGTTGGAGGGTGTGGTGGTTGTTGAGGGCGTGGTGTGGGTGGTTGTTGATAAGTGTGTGTGGGGTGGTTGTTGGATTTGCGTGTGTGGTGGTTGTTTACGGTGTGTGTGGGTGGTTGTTGAGTGTGTGTGGTGGTTGCTGGCGGTGCGTGTGGGTGGGTTGCCGGAGGTGTGCGGTGGTTGCTGGAGGCGTGTGTGGGTTGCTGGAGTGGGGAGGCGGGTGTGTGGTTGCTGATGGAGTGTGTGTGGTTGCCGATGACGCGTGTGGTTGCTGGAGGTGAGTGTACATTGCTGGAGTGGCGTGATGGTTGCCGGAGGAGTGCTATTGCTGGAGGAGTGTATGGTTGCTGGAGGAGCGGCATGGTTGCTGGAGGAGCGCGATGGCTGCTGAGGAGTGATGGTTGCTTGGAGGGCGTGTGTGTGGTATGGTTGTTGGATCTGTGTGTGTATGGTTGTTGGAGGGGAGGTATGGTTGCTGAGGAGGTATGGTTGTTGGAGGGGAGGGTAGGAAGGTATGTGTGTAAGCTATGGTTGGAGGGGGAGTGTATGGTTGTTGGAGGGGGAGGTATGGTTGTTGGAGGGGAGTGTATATTGTTGAGGGAGTGTATGGTTGTTGAGGGGAGTGTGTATGGTTGTTGGAGGGGAGGTATGGTTGCTGGAGGGGAGGGCATGGTTGTTGGAGGTGAGTGTGTGGTGCTGGAGGGTGTGTGTGTGTGTTGCTGGAGGGCAGGTAACAAGCGAGGGTGAGTGCAGCAGGCTGTTGGAGGTGTGTGTGTGGTTGTTGAGGGTGTGTGGTGGTTTGTTGGAGGGTGTGTGTGGTTGCTGGAGGGTGTGTGTGTGGTTGTTGGAGGGTGTGTGTGGTTGTTGGAGGGAGTGTGTGCGGTTGTTGAGGACGTGTGTGTGGGTTGATGGAGGATGTGTGTGTGGTTGATGGAGGATGTGTGTGTGTGGTTGTTGAGTGATGTGTGTGTGTGGTTGCTGGAGGATGTGTGTGTGTGGTTGCTGGGAGGATGTGTGTGTGTGTGGTTGTTGAGGGCAGGTGCGTGGTTGAAGCTGGAGTGGTGTGTGTGTGGGGTTGTTGGAGGTGGCGTGTGGTTGTTGGAGTGTGTGTGCGTGTGTGTGCGTCTGTGTGTGCTGGAGGTTGGTGTGTGTGGTTGCTGTGGTGACGCGTGCGTGGTTGTTGATGACGCGTGTGTGGTTGCTGGAGCGACGCGTGGACGGTTGTTGAGGGCGTGTGTGTGGGTGGCTGGCTGATGACGTGTGGGTGGTTGCTGATGACGTGCGTGGGTGGTTGCTGGAGGTGTGCAGGTGGTTGCTGGAGTGATGTGTGTGTGGGTGGTTGTTGGAGGTGTGGGTGGTTGTTGGAGGGGTGTGTGGTGGGGTATTGTTGAGGGTGTGGGTGGTTGCTGGAGGGGTGTGTGTGGGTGGTTGTTGGAGGTGCGGGTGGCTGCTGATGGTGCGTGTGGGTGGTTGCTGGAGGCGTGGGGTATTGCTGGAGGGTGCAAGTGTGGGTGGTTGGTTGAGGGTGTGGGGTGGCTTGTTGAGTGTGGGTGGTTGTTGATGCGTGTGTGGTGGCTTCGTTGATAAGTGTGTGGGGTATTGCCGATGGCGTGCGGGGCGGCTGCCGGAGGGTGTGCGGGTTGTTGCTTCGATGGGTGTGGGTGGTCAAGCCGGAGGGTGTGTGTGGGTGGTTGCTGGATGGGCGGTGGGTGGTTGCCATTGAGGGTGTGTGTGGGTGGTTGCTGGAGGGCGTGGGTGGTTGCTGATGCGTGGGTGGTTGCTGAGTGCGTGCGGGTGGTTGTTGATAAGTGTGTGGGGCGGTTGCTGAGGCGTGTGGGGTGGTTGCTGGAGGGTGTGGGTGGGTTGCTGGAGGGTGTGTGGGGCGGTTGTCGGAGGGTGTGTGCGGTTGCTGGAGTGCGTGGGGTGGGTGCTGAGGGCGGGGGTGGTTATTGATGTGGGGGGGTTGCTGGAGGTGTGGGGTGGTTGTTGATAGCGTGTGGTTGTTGGAGTGCGTGGGGTGGTTGTTGGAGGGTGTGTGGGTGGTTGTTGGAGTGCGTGGGAGGTGGTTGCTGGAGGTGTGGGCGGTTATTGAGGTGTGGGTGGTTGCTGGATGTGTGGCTATTGTTGGAGGGCATGTGGGAGGTTGCTGGAGGCGTGGTGGGGGTGGTTGTTGAGGGCGTGTGGGGTGGTTAAGGCTGGATAGTGTGTGGGTGGTTGCTGGAGGCAAGTGTGGGTGGTTGTTGGAGGGTAAGTGTGGGTGATTGTTGAGTGACGTGTGTGTGGTTGCTGGAGGGTGTGTGTGGCTGGTTGTAGGCGTGTGGTTGCTGGAGGTGTGTGATTGTTGAGGTGTGTGTGTGGTTGCTGGAGGGTGTGTGTGTGGTTGTTGAGTGCGTGTGTGGTTGCTGGAGGGAGTGTGTGGTTGTTGGAGGATGTGTGTGCGTGGTTGCCGAGTGACGTGTGTGTGTGGTTGCTGGAGGATGTGTGTGTGTGGTTGTTGGAGGGCGTGGTGGTTGTTGAGCGTGCGTGTGTGTGTCTGTGTGTGTGTGTGTGTGTTGAGGCCGCGCAGGTGTGGCTGTTGTAGTGACGGTGTGAAGCTGCCGAGATGGTGTGTGGCTGTTGTTGATAATGCAAAGCCGTTGAGGACGTGTGTGATGGTTGCTGGAGTGGCGTGTGTGGGCATGTTGAGTGGGTGTGTGTGGGGTGGTTTGCTGGAGGACGTGTGGGTGGTTGCTGGAATGCGTGTGTGGCGGTTGGCTGGAGGTGCGTAAGCAGCCGTTGATGCGTGTGGGTGGCGGGTTGAGGGTGTGGGTGGTTGTTGAGGGGTGTGTGTGTGGGTGGTTGCTGGAGGGTGTGTGTGGGTGGTTGTTGGAGGTGTGTGGGTGGTTGTTGATGGGTGTGTGGGTGTTGCTTGAGGGTGGTTGCTGAGGCGTGTGTGGGTGGTTGCTGGGAAAAGCGGTGTGGGTGGTTGTTGAGGGTGTGTGTGGGTGGTTGCTGGAGGGTGTGTGTGGGGTGGTTGTTGGAGGGTGTGTGTGGGCGGTTGTTGGAGGGTGTGGTGGTTGCTGAGGGTGTGTGTGGGCGGGTTGTTGAGGGTGTGTGTGGGTGGTTGTTGAGGGTGGTTGTTGAGGGTGGTGTGGGTGGTTGCTGGAGGTGTGTGGTAAAGCCGGAGGGCGTGCGTGCGGTTGTTGAGGCGTGTGTGTGTGGCTGCTTGGAGGGCGTGTGTGTGGTTGTTGGAGGGTGTGTGGTGTGGGCGGGTTGCTGGAGTGCGTGCGGGTGGTTGTTGGAGGGTGTGTGGTGGTTGTTGGAGGGTGTGTGGGTGGTTGCTGGAGTGTGGGCGTGTGGGTGGTTGCTGACGGTGTGGGTGGTTGTTGGATGGTGTGTGGGTGGTTGTTGAGTGGGTGTGTGGGTTATTGTTGGAGGGTGTGTGGGTGGTTGTTGAGTGTGTGTGGGTGGCTGTTGGAGGGTGTGGGTGGTTGTTGGATGGTGTGGGTGGTTGTTGAGGGTGTGTGTGGGTGGTTAAGCTGGATGGGTGGTTGGTTGACGGGCGGTGTGGGTTATTGCTGGAGGGTGTGTGTGTTTGTTGGAGGAGGTGTGGTTGTTGAGGAGTGTGGCTTGTTGATGACGTGCGGTGTGTGGGT